GTAACTGCCAACGGCCGTATACAGACTGTACTGTTCGACATGGGTACTATTAGTATACCGGCTTATACAGATGATATTGGTTTGTATGTTTCAAATGATACAGCTAAAAATGATTTTTCATTATTAAATCGATTATTAACGAAACCGTGGATTCCACCATCAAATTATAATTATCCAAAACTCGAACAAAGTGGGAGACCAACATCAGTATGTCAACATTCATGGCTTGTTAAATATTCTTGGCTTAGTTACTCAAAAATGCATCAAGGTATTTATTGTCGATATTGTGTTTTGTTTTCAAGAAAAGGTGAAAATCAATCTCTTGGTCAACTTATCAATAAACCATTACGATCACTGAAAGATGCGCCGGAATACTTATTCAATCATAATGAATGTAATTATCATAAGTTATCTGTCAGTCAAGTAATAGAATGCGTTTCACCATATGCGCATGCGAATTCAGATGTGAATATACTATTAAATAATATTAATGAACAACAACAAAATGAAAACAGAAGAATACTGGCAAGTATAATTAAATGTATTTTATTCTTGTCAAGACAAAATATTGTATTTAGGGGTAATGATGAAAATGGATTTTTAGATGATAATAATACTAATCCTGGTAATTTTAAATCATTAGTGTTATTTGCAACCGATGCTGGTGACCAAGCACTACAAAAAAAATTTAAATCATCATCAAAAAAATGCTTCATATTTAAGTTGGCAAACATAAAATGAATCAGTTAAAATTTGTGCAATGTTAACCAAGAATAAATTATTAAATGAAGTAATTAGTACAAAGAAATTTTATGCTATTATTGCTGATGAAACAGAAGATATATCCGGTACATAGCAATTATCAATTTCAATACGTTTTGTATCCGACGAAAATGATATTTCAATAAAAGAAGTCTTTTTTGGCTTTGCAGCTTTATCTGATACAACTGCTGCTGGTATTGCTAAAGCAATCGCAACATTTATTCAAGCGTCTGGTCCTAAAATAGAAAAAAATCGAGGTATGCTTTTCAAGTTATTAATGAAAGTATACTCATTTTACATATTTTTAGACCAAGGCTACGACGGTGCAAATGTTGTTGCTGGTTGATTAGGTGGAGTGCAAAAATTGATAAGAGATATTGTACCACGTGCAAATTATGTTCATTGTTCAAACCATTCACTTGACTTAGTTCTTGCTGGCGCTTGTAAACTTCAACTAATTAAAATTTTTTTGCTTGATTAAATCTATTATAAGCTTTATAAATGGATCGCCAAAAAGAGAATTAATGCTTGCTAAAATTATTGAATCTACCAATAATGAAACAAAACGTCGACATCTTGTGAAATTATGTGAAATACGCTGGGTTGATAAACACACATCAATCATCGTATTTAAACAAGTCTTTTTTGGCGTTATTGTTGGTTTAGATTATTTAGTTGAAAGTGGTGATTCTGAAACAAGTGGTCTTGCACGAAGTTACGGAAAAGCTTTAACTGATATTGATCTTGTTATTCCTCTTATTGTTGTGAATCGTGTATTTTGTATAACTAAACCCAGCGGCGTAAATAGGGGAGTGAGTGAGTGGGGCGTAACACCCCCTGCTTCCGAAAATTCATAGGAAAAAAGGGGTTTACGCCCCCCTGCTTTTGAAAATTTCGTTTTTTTTGCTCACCAAAACAGAAAAATTAGAGTTACATCCCACCTGCTCTGACACCTGACTTACGCTCCTGACTAAACCATATGCTGCACAACTTCAAAAACCAACATGCGATCTTCTGAAATGCTATCAACGTATGGAACACGCTTCCACTTATTTAGCTGAATTAATTTATGATGATAATCAAGTAAATGAACTTCATAATGAATTTACTAAATTTATTGAACTTAATGAAATTGATAATTGTTTATCACGAACAGCAAGTCGACGTTACGAATCTGTCAAAGACTATTTTATAGACGTAAGGAATTTGTGTATAATATGTTTGCAAGACTTTCTATTAATATATTTTTGATTTATAGGTATACAGAACATTCATTACTACAACAATTGAAGAATTAGGAAGAAGATTTAATGTACATCAAAAGCTTGCTATGAGTATCGCAAATTTAATCCCATTGTATTTTGTTAATACTGACTTTTCCAATGTTTCATCATTATTTCAACATTATAAAGATGATTTACAGACCGATAATCCGAATATACACAAAGTCGAGTTTGACACATGGAAATATCATGTTCGTCAAATGAAAGAAAATGAAAGGCCAAGTATTATAGTGGAAACATTGAAAATTATGCAACCTGTTAAATCTTTTTTTCCAAATATTTATATCTTAATACAGATTTATGCACTTATTCCGGTATCCGTGGCAGGTGCAGAACGTTCATTTTCAGTTCTCAAATTAATCAAAACAAAATTACGTAATCGAACAGGCGGTGAACGACTTAGTGATTTAGCAGTTATAAATATCCATAAAAATATTGCTGAAGAATTAAATATTGAAAATGTAATTGACGAATTTGCTAAATCAAGTCGGAAAAAAATTTTAGCAATGGAGTTTAATTTCTTGTCTTAATTGTTTGTTTTTGTTTTTGTAAAAATTATCTTTAAATATTAATGAATGTGAATAATAATAATAATAGATAATGAAACATTCATTAAGATTTAAAAAAGGCCTACTAAAAACCAATAGGAATACATTTGCCCCCCCCCTCATCAAAAGATCCTGCTGCGTGTCTGCACACACCATGATGCTTGAGTCTATAAAACTCAGTAGAAGCCTGTAATTGAATAGTTTTTATTTGTATTTAGATAAACCTTTTTCGTCTGTTCCAAAATCTGCCGATAACTCTATTTTTATTGTGACTACATTTTATGATAGAAATAGAAAACAGTTGTGATTTGATTGACAGCCATTGAAGAAAGTTAGATATGTAGAATTATTTAAATTAAGTAAAATTTAAAAAAAGAAGCTTTCTCGTTATTTTTACGAAGCTATTACTTGTTTCTCCAGTAAAAGATTTACAAGTTTTCAAATACCATTAAAATATTATCAAATATCATAATGAAAATCACATTCCTGATATTAATTACTCATTCATCTATAAAAGCATTTATAAACAATAAAGTCATGAACCAACAAGTTTCTTAGAAAAGTTCATCTGAATTTTGAATTTAGTATTAGATGTACGCTTGTAAATACTACTCATTTATAATATTATTATTGGTGATGTTTATTCTAATAGTATTACTATAAATAAGTTTATAGTAATTAGTAAAATGTTTATTGGATAATAGTGGCTAGCTAGAAAATATACAATGAGAAAAACGTACATATCTTAATAAATTTACTCGTATAAGAGATGCATATTGTTAGAATGCTTCAAACATCATTGGTCAAAGTGATTCTTTTTTGGAACTGATTGAAGGGAGTATAAATTTGCTTTTTATTTCTTTTTGAAGGAAAGGAATAAAGGAACTGTCAATATGTCGCTTACACTTGACATTGTCACTTCAATAAGCGAATCATTTTAGTGTCGGTACACTTTGCTTATACTTTGATGAGTACTTGCACAAGTTTTGTATTACAAATTTACATTAACCCGAAAACAGTCCATGTCAATGCTGCCGATATCTGGAAACAAGTAGATTTTGCCGGAACTAGTCAGAAAAAATCATCATATTCGACCGGAAATGAATGGCACGTGGATGCAGTATTCGTGATCAGAATCTATCAGAGAATTTCCAGCTACTTCCATTTGTTCTTCTTCGGAAAAAATAAGAAGTTGACGGGAGGCCACAGAAAAATAATCCGGAAACTATCCGGTTCAACACAGTGCTTTTGCATTGCATTGATTTCCAGTATTTTTCCGCCCGGAACTTGTTCATATGTATTTACCTGAAATGCGAATTCATTCTAGTAGTCATATTGGTTTTCTGCCAAATCATTCAGCATATTAGTTATACGCTACTATGCAAAAAGAATGGATAGAAATAATTTTCTTGGAAAAAATAGAGCATCTTAATGAACCATCGGGAAAAGCCTCATACAAACGTGTATCTATCATTATCTCTAGTCATTTTCAGATCAGTAATTTTTACTGATTTAAATTTTTGTGATTGAGAAAAAAGAAAAAAAAATAACCTTTTCATTTTCAATTATTTATTTGTTTAAAAAAATGAAATAATTCAATGTTTCAAATAATCATCCGTTGCATTAAGGCTAAATTATTCATTTTCTTCAAATTTGCTTCATTTTTTTAAAATGTGTTTCAAATTGCTTATCTACTTTATTTTGTGAAAGTAGTAATTGAACTTATATTTTTCATAACGAAAAAAAAACGAGGATTACGTAATACTTCCTCTATCAGAACCAATTATTTTTTTCAAATTCTTATTTTACGTATCGCAATTTCCTAATAGAATAAAATGAATTAAATATAATGTGACTGAATAGAATATAGCTCTACAAGTATTTGCAGCTGCTGTTTTGCTTTCAACTGTAGAAAGAACGGAGTTGTCATTCTCTCAATTTTGAAAACTCTTCTTATTTCTCCAACAAAACTGTCTTATTTTTCTTTTTTTTTTCTTCACGCCAGTATTTTTAAGAAAGCTCGCTCGCTCGCTCGCTCCTGTGCCAGATATTCTCGATCGATTCGGGTGGCTTGTGGAAACCGGCGTATGGTACGTAAATAGTTGAAGTACATAAAAACTGATGTATGCACTTATTAGAGCTAATAATTGTTCAAAGCTGAATATCAACTATCACAATGAGATAGTCAGATCTAAAAACGAATATTATAGCTGCACTCTCATAGTATTTTCTTATGTAACTATTGTATCAGTATTTTCCTCAGAGTAATCAAATAAATAAACGAAAAATATTTTCGTCGTTTCTTTGCGTTCATCTATATCAACAGACACAAATTCTCATGCTATCATGCTTTTTTATAATTTTCTGTTTTATTCCGAGTTCATCTAGTTAAATAAAAACACCTTTATAGACTATGTAATATTCAATAACCCTTTACGCATGAAATGAGTTTTTTTTTGCACTGATTATTCTTCAAGTCGTGACATTCGTCTGTAAAATTATGATATTTTAAATATTATTAAATAGAAAATCAATCCATTGTATATGCTAATAACTTATCTTTGAATTCATGTATCGTTCAAAGAGAAAAGAAAAAATTAGTTATAATCTCGTTAAATATTTTGCCGTTAAGAATGCGAACGATTAATATTTATCGAATGTAGTTCTTAATCATAAGCTGATTAACATACAGAATATTATTCTGCTCCATATCAATCGGTGTTTATTTTTACTTTTACTTTCTTACGAGTACTTTTGCTCTTAAATGCATTTTTATAGCATGATTCAAAGTCAACATCGATGTAAATTCAGTAATCATTGATGAATTTTTTTTTGTATCACAAAAATGAATATAGACGGAGGCTTTTTCTTTTCTATACGCAATAACAAAATTTGCTACTTAAAGAGTTAGTTACAGTTCATTAATTATTTCTTGTAACAGTGCTATTATATTATCTAAACCAATTAAATAACCATCTTCATGTGAATTACGTAACCACGACTTTTCATGTGTTATATGAATACCATCTGGTAAAAATCGTGTCTTTCCAAAATCAATCATCCATACTGATGCTTTATTTTTATCATGTACAAATAAAAGTGATGAACCTATTAACTGTGCATAAGAGAAAACAACATATAATTAAATTAAGAAAATAGAAAATTTCTAAACAGACCTCATGACTTTGAAAAAAACGTGAACGGATACATGTTGAACGTAATTCAAATAGACGTTCAAGATATTGATTCTATCAAATAATCATAATTAATTTAAAAACAAAAATCCAAAAAACTAACTTACAGCGCGTGATAATGAATTAGTAAAGAAATCCTTTAATTGCTGTTTAACATCTTCACGTTCTTTAATTCTATGAAATTGTTTTGACATCGAACCATGAGATTTCTATAGATGACAATAGGAGAAGAAAATAGTTTTCTTTAAATAAAACATAGAATTTTATTTTTCACGATTACTTGAATAGCTTCAATACGAAAACCTAAGTTTTGACTGGAGCTTAAACTTTCTCGCCAAATCATATAACGTGTCTTGAGAATCTTTTTCTCTTCATGTTCTTTTTCTGTTAGAGCAGCTACATCGATAGCAATCATTTTGTTATATAAATCCTAAAATATAAATAAAATACAATGTTAATTTAAATCAGAAATAAGCAATCAATCAATTTATTTTACAGTTCGTGGTTCTGGATTACATTCAGATTTATCAAGTTCTTCTTCTAAGTAAGTTCTTACACCAATTTTACAATCCATTATAGATGGGTCATTAAATGAAGCTAATAAATCTTCCATTTCAATAAATACTAGAAAATGAAAAATATGATTATTCTTCATTTTAATTTAATTGTTGGTGTTTTTTTCTTACATCGTCCTTCTGCATCTTTAACAATTCCATTATATTTTGGAACGAAATCTTTCAAAGAATCAGTTTGAAGTATTTCGCAACAATATTCTTCATGTTCACTTAATTCTTTCAATATATAACCATCATGAATTCCTTTTTTAAATGTTCCTTAAGATAATAAAAAGAAACAAAAAGAATAGATCATTTACGTCGAAACGAAGTGAAGCAGAGAAAAAAAGAATCCTACCACGATGACCTACTAATTGTACCCATTGATGTCGTTCTTCTTTTTTTTGTGTCGGTGTTAGAAATGTTGCAACAGCATTTGAAAAAGCTTTCCAACCTCGAGGATTCTTAATAAAACGAAATATACACATTGATATTTAAATGATTACTCATTTCATAGTGCTTATTTTACTTTTGTTACATGTACTTCAAAATATTTTGAATCCGTTGGTGATGACGAAGACAATTGTAATTCTGTCGTATTTAATCCTTGCCAAATATCAAGTAAGGCGTTATTTATTGATTTATTGCGTTCGAGTGAAGAACAGCTAGACGATATTTGACATTGACAATATGGCCATTTAGATAAATATTCGTTCGATGTCGACGTTATAGTTGTTGTCATGTTTAGTTGATTGCTATTATCGAAATGACTTGGGTCATGTGAGCTTTTATAAGTAACTCGGTGTTCTTGTAATAATTGTGTAGCTAGGTCACGTACAAAGTTTCGTTTATTCAAATTAGAATGTTCTGAAAATGATACTAAAAGGAGCAGAGAGCTATTTACCTCTTTTCTTGACGAAAGAGAAATACTGTATAACTGAACAAGAACGTCATTTCGCAGTCATGAAAACTATAGATATGTAATGGTAGGCGCAATCTATCGCATTCGAATATGAAATAAAAACAGTTCCAACAGTATTGACAATGTTTTCTGATGTCAATATAATTTATTTGAAAATGAATCTAGCATGAATATCATCGTTTTCGTGTCAAAACGAATATCTGTTTTTTTTTCTATTTCATTATATGCGAAGCAAAAAGAAATATTCTATTTGTTTTGCTTATTTTTCAGCATTTTCCAACTGACTGTTTACCGATGATTTGCCTTTGGATATACCAGAGACTTTGTGATGCTGGTAAAAAAGTTGTTTGAAGTTATTTCAATGAAAATGCGTCATGATCTTACAAGAGAAAATGATCAAACTAAAAAGGTTTTTGAGTGAAATATATGAAAATGATCAAATACGTTCCCAACTAAGTGAAAAACACCAGACGTTCATGTATGGAAAGTTTTTGAAAAGATAAAACCTTTATCGGAAATAGTTGGTTAATTATGTCTGTTTTCTCTCAGAAAATCTATCCGAGTGCAATTATTATTCTATTCTGTGGTGCTTACGTCAATAACTAGATCGAAGCAAAAGCAATAGCGTATGTTTTCTTTTTCAGGTAAGTGTATTGCGAATCGTTAATTGATACTTGTTAAAAATGTTCATTTTATAAAAACATATACTCAGTTATATTCACATAGTTGTATATTACATTGAGGCTATTGAATTATATATTATATTTAATGTTAATTTTTGTATTTCTCTTCAGATTTATTTTCAAAAAAAAAACAAAATCATCATTGACTCAGTTATAAAACTTAAGTGTTAGAGAAAAAACAATTTAATCTTATAGAGTAAGCAGCTCTCACGATTTCCAAATCCCAAAAGTAGACGATAATGACTTCATGTGTGCATTTGTCTACATTCAATAACGTTATACTTCTCTGTGAACGTGACATATTTTCTGTTTTTGTAAAACTGTGAAGTGTTCGTGTACTCGAAAGGTAAATCCTTAAATATCTATCGACTTTGCTAATTGCTCTTACTCATATCGTATGTTTCTTTATTAAAACAAAATCATACACACGAAATCGAATATTTTTCAATACTTGATGTACGACACTATTCATATTTTTCTAATCGATTTACCCGTTTTTTCTTTCTTGAAATTTCAATGATGATTTATTCTGACTGAAACAAACTCTGAATGAAATAAATTCTAGTTGACTAGCTAATGAAAGTTGAATTAATATAATATTCAGTCATTTCTTTTATAACCGTTATTCGATTCGAATAACTTTTCTCAATAAGTAAACAACATTAATATGTGAGGATTTTATGGATAGTGTGTATTTTTTATAAGATAATTACAGAATCAATATCATATGTATACAAAAGTTAGCATCACTCGAACATGTATGGTTGACTTATTGATGAAAAATACATTAGTAAAATCAACAGTGATAAAAAATTTTGAATATTGATTAAATTTCACTGTAACGTTTAAGAAATAACGCACGCTTCAGAAATTGCAGCACGACGCATAGCTTCTTCTCTTTGTCCTTGTGGACTGAAACGATAAGCAAGTTGTTGCATCGGTCGATAATAATTTTTTTGCATCCATATGCTTTTGTATGCCATGATCTTTTTAACTTGACGTGTTCGACCACCGATGACAATCGATTGAACTACTAATAATTGATTTTTCACTTGTCCAATTTCATAAAATTGATTGGAACTATTAGGACACAGTGCATTATTTTCAAAAAAAACTTTATCTTCGAATTCATCAGGTGACAATGTTGCTGCGAGTATAAATATAAGTTTATCCTCTTCATCAGACATATTTCTCCAATTAGAATAGTTTCGATATCTTCGAATATCATTATCATCGTATTCAATTACAGTACATACGCAATCAATGTAATACATGACTTTCGCGATATCTGCATCTGGAACAGTAACTGTCTGGCCAAACATCTTGACATCGTAGTTTGTATTTTGAAACATGGCCATTATTGTATGATACACAAGGTATTGAAAACGTTTTGTTAGATAGTTTGTTTCTGCACAGAAACATAGGTTTTCATCGGCTTATATAGATGTATTAAAAACAAATATTTCCGTTTTTACTTCCGATGAAGTGAGGCAAACGTAAAGAAAGGAAGTAAAAGAATTTTTGTCTAAACATAAAACAAGATAAAACAAATTAGTCATATTTCAACAAAAAGTACAGTAGATATAAAAATAAACATAAAGATTCGGTGAAAAACTTTCAAGCATGTTCGTTTGTAACAGAATAATGCTTTTAGTCATGTTTTACTTGGCAAATAAGATTTTCAACAGATGTGAAAGTGAAAAAATTCAAGATGTTTTTATCTGACTACTTGTTTGATCCAAAATCAGATAGTTTTTGAAAGTTCAAGTAGAATAAGGAAAAAGGAAAAAATATGTATAATGAAACAAACATATTCCCTAAATATAAACCTGTTCTTTTATGTTATCAATAATTTTGATTGACTAGGCATGTAGCTACTTGTATTTATTCGTTTTGGTAACTTTTGTCTTGCTTACTTATCGATAAATAATTAATTCAACTCACAAGCGTCTATTTTCTGATAAAAATAAATAATACTTAGGTCTGGCCAAAAGTTCTGCAATTTAAAAAAAGAGAAAGGAAAAGAGAAAGAGAAAATTCGAGTTATATTTTATTAAATGTTGATGATAGTTGCCATGATTATATATATATATCAATTTGAATCCTTTCTAGCAATTTGTTAAAAGTGTTTTTGAACTCTTTTTCGAAAAAAAATTTAGGGACCTTGGTACCAGATGAACTTATCATATTTCATTGTTTTTTAAGTTTTTTAAAATTTTGTTCGATCATGGTAGCTGCGTTCTAGCATTACTTGTGATGGGATATGGATTTATTTTCGATAGGTTAGTCATAAGTCATCTGATGCTAGCTGGCTTATTGAAGATGAATCGTCAAAGACTATTGTCCATGAAGACAGATTTTAACCAAAACCTTGTTTAGTATATTTTTTAAATCAAATAGTCCTCAGTGTAGATAAAGGCAAGAATGTACGTCACAAATATTATATTGAAAATTTCCCGAAGCCATTTGCTAATGAAATATGAAAACAAGCAGCGATATCAGGACCAAAATGTACAAAATTGCTTGACGATCACCGTTGCCTCCATACTTATCCAATGTTATTAATTAGATGACAGAAGAAGACATCAATATAGTGTCATATCCATTATATTCGCCAGGCCTGATACTATGCCATTTTTGGCTAATCAATTCTATTCAACGCAGTTTAACTAATTAAATAAATGAAATATGATTAGTTCATCTGGTATCAAAGGCACCTAAAAGTTTTTTAGAAAACGAGTCCAAAAGAACTTTTAACAAATTGTTCGAAATAATTCAACTTGATATATATATATATATAATCATGGCAACTATCATCAACATTTAATAAAATAAAACTCGAAATTCCTCTCTTTCTTTAATTGTTTTTTAAATTGTAGAACTTTTGGTAAGACCTAAGTATTTGTTAAAATTATTCAGCATAGAGAAAAAAAGCACTCTTTCTGACAAATCCTATTAAAGATTTCATACGTCAAAGCTAATTAAATCAATATCATTAACTGATTGTCTATGTCTGCCTTATCTTAATGAAAGAGGACAAGAGATAATCATATGGTATTTTTCATTTTCAAGATTGACAAGAAAATAATGAGATACAACCATTTGATAAGTTCAAAGATTCTCTGTCTATGAACATATGCATAGTCTTTCTTAGCTGTTTTTGACACATAGAATTAATCATATTTATAACGTCAAGTAAATTTACACGGACACTAACTTTTCTTGACAGTATATATATATATATTTTAATCTTGATAACACATTTTTCTGACATTTTTTTTTCAGATAATTTTTATTTTGTTTCTTTGAATTTATTGCAGATTTTATAGTGACATATTCATTAAATTATTGTATAATTACATTCATATTTTATGGAAGAGTTTTTCAACATTATTTTCTATAGGTTTTATTCGATTATTTTGATTTAATAATAGAAGTATGACTATTTTATCTTTATTTATACACTAGAAGTAAATTCTTTTTCTTATTAAACGAATACTTGAACTTTTTCAAATATGAAATACAAAAATAGACATGAACATATTATTATTTTTTACATACTTTCTTTTCAAAAGTTTCATCTTCGATTTTCAACTTGTTGACTTGATTAAGTTTTAAGCAAGATAAATAATGCATAGACATCTTTTATAGTTTTATTGATTGAAATGTCATTATTTCAGATTGAAATAATGAAAAATGAATACTCACAAAGAGATTTTTTTTATTGGAATATACTTAATTCGTTTTTTTTTTATAAAAAGAAACTTAAAAGGTAACTATCTCTTTCTTGTTATGACTATTTTATTTATTACAATAAATAGAGAAGAACAGGCATTGAAAAGAGACTATATTTTTTTATAATATCACGTTTAATCTATGCGTCATTCTATATTATTATTATGATTATTTTTATTATTAAGTCTATAATCAGATTATTAATGTAGAATTAGTTCGCGTCAAATTTTTAAATCTATCCCAATTAAGCCCTGCTAAACGATTGATCGTATACCGAAATTAATCTGATAACTTCAACAATCTATGTAAGAAAAATTATCGCAATTGTACATGAAAGAGTTACTAGCATTTGACACGCGATAAGTAAATATAACATGTAACACTTGTATAGGAAACGTTATTCTATCCAAACGCTAATGCAAATGTATATATAAATTATATGCCAGTACTCTATATGGTGGAACGCCTATTTGTTTATTCTTTTCGTTGTATCAAACTATTGGTATTCTAAAAATAGTTGAGTACAGACAATAATTATGAGCATCTATAACACGATTGTATATTAAAAAAAAGCATTCCACAAATATCTCTAATAGAATAGACAGATAGACAATTTACAGCAAAGATATTTATGGAAATATTTCTAAAGTTCTATGATAGAGCATAAATCAAACTACCATATTCACTGTCTCTTTTTGAATGAACTTACTTGAATAATAATGCAAAGATTATTTTTTAAGCAAGTACTTAGTTCGATATAAATATACGATTCCTATGGGAATACCTTTATCTATACATATTTATGTTGATAAAACTATACATCAAAATCCACTGAAGTGTCGTTGAGATTCTTAGTAATAAGAGTAAGATAAAATAATAGCTTGCATCTGATTAAATCTTCACTCGACACTTTTTCCGTTCTTCAACGCAACAAACAATTACTGAGAGAAACAAGAAGCACATTCTCAACTTCATTCCATCGAATGCCACCATCAAATTGATTTTAGGCAAAAAAGAAGCTTCCGGTACTATTAATGTGCAGACGAGCATCGATATGGAAATGTTTTCTTTCTTATCCCTCATCGAATGAAGAGAGAACACAAGACAGACACCCGAACGTTGTTTTTTATCATCTGCAAGATGCACTAAAAGACAATGATTGTTATTAAGTGCTTCGGCTTATCCATAAATTTGTTTTCTTATATATCCAAAAATAGGATCAACTATCATTTTATCGGTGAACAGAAATAATTACATCTTTATCAAGAAGAGCAGAATGTCTATTGCGAGTGTTTATTATTTATTGATTGTCCAACTTGTCTATAAATTTCACTAGTAGTCTGTAAAAAAAAAGAAAAAAAATGGCAACAAGATTTATATTATAGTTTCTTGTTGTTTCATACAAATATTGCTTGAAACTTCTCAAGAGAATACTGGTATATTTTCTTTGTTTCGTCTGCTTCGTATTGGGCATTCTAGGGATCACTTAAACGAGAAATAAGAGATAGAACTGAATACATTATATAAGTAAGTACATATGATTCAATTATAGAATTTGAAAAGAAACAAAATCAATCGTCTCGGTCCTATTTTGGTAAATGTTCCAAGTATGAAACTATAAATAATCGTTTGTTATCCTAAAACAATAACACTTGAAAATTTATTCAACATGGACATATTTCTTATTATTTTGCTTTAGTATGTTGAGTAATGCCAAGAACATAACAGCGACAAGAAAATTCTTTTTTGGCTAATCTAATATGAGATTTTTCATCGTGATTGTAACTCCAAGACAGTAAATGCAATGGCAAATAATGAAACGAAATTCATTTGCATAAACGCATTTACATTATGTAGATGGAAATGTTTTTAGTAATGTTATGAATTTTTAAAAAGATCGTTAAGTCTCATGAGATTTGTTAACATTATCCTCGCAACATAATAAGTGTACCTATTCAAGATCTGACTTTGTTTATGTAATAATCAATGTTGAATTTGCTACTTCATACATAATTTGCACATGAAGATTTACTACATATATATATATACTCAGATAGATAATATAGAATACTTGAAATAAATTAGAAATAAGAGCAGTTTTTGTGTGTTCTTTCCAGTCGTCGAGACCTATAATCAGATATGTCAGTATTCGAACGATGAAGATAGAGTTTTTTAGTTTTTGCTCGAGGCATGAAATATCAAGATATAAATATCTACATCCATCAGTAGAAAAAAAATTTACAGTATTATATTCTCTATAGATTTTTCTCTCATATGAAAACGATGAACATCAGAAAAAAGATCACTAAAATACGGGTAGATCGATCCATCGTTCTTTGTTATTATCTGCATTGTATTTTAAAAAAATAATTCTAGTGCGAGCAATATTAACATGTTTATCCAGACACATAGAGAAAGAACTTCTATTTACTATTATAACTAGACATTTCTTTGTACTCTTCAAATGACAATCTTTATCATTTTTTTTGTTTTTGCTCATTGTAACAACCATATAGAAAGGAAAATAAACTAGTGGTAAGCAAGAACAGAATAAACGAAGAGAATGATTTTGGAAATTGCTTCTTTTCTATCATAATTCATTCTCATTTTAGTCTATTTCTTTCTTTTGTATATAGAGTTCATTATTACGTTTGATGATATTGATGATCGGGTGAATTCTGTTTTCTTGCTTGAGACAAAAAAACAAATAGAAAGAAAAATGAAGAAGAAAGAAAATAAAATGATACTTTATTCATAGTTGCTCTCCGGATTAGTGCAAAAAAATAATAATAACAGATAAAACGCATGTTGTGCCTTTAAGCTTCTTTTCAAGTAAGACAACGTCATTGATAGACTTACGAGAACAACACAAGAAAAAGTGCCTTTCTTGTCAATGTGAAGCGCTTGTATACGTGGTAAAATCTCTCTCTCTTAAATTATCCTCTTCATACACTTTGTGTAATACCATTATGGGTAATTGATTTCAAGGAAATCAAAGGGAAACAGAAAAAAAGAAGCAGAAGAACAAGAAGCAATATGAATATGAAGTGGACCGTGGCTGTGTCTTTGTCACAACTGTAGAACGAAGAAAGACAAAAAACAGGTAAGGAGAAATTTCCTTCCGTCTTCTTCCGGTCGCTCTTCTTTAATAAAGAAAAATCGACTAAAAATGTAATGCGAAGTCAAGCATAATCAATCCATAGACCATTGAAGCCTTTAGTTTTTAATGAACAATTGTTTCTCCGAGAAAAAATTTTCATATTTAATGACTACTGACTTTCATTATAACGCTCTCTCTCTCACATCTAAATAAATAATCTTCCGCTTTTTTGCAGTTATTCAAAGCTAATATTTTCTTTTTATCAGTTGATTGAAGTCGAGATGATTGGAATATATTTTTGATACAGAGTATATCTAAAACTTAATGATAATTATGCTTCTTATACATATGGGTGTTGCATGACCTATCACTATTGTTTTATCTCTAATAACCATATCTAGGATCTTATCTCTAGATTAAAGACAACAATAATTTTTCCTGTTCTAGTTGCGATAAACTAGAACACTGTAGGTGGATTTTATTTTATCAATATTTTCACAATATAGAAGAGAAAAACTATTATCTAACCTAATTAACACGTAGTTGGTTGTTGTTTTTCTTGAATTGTTATTATTTTATCTAATCATCTAAAATTATGATTTGTCATCTTGAGTACATCTCAAATTATTCTTTTGGAACCAATATGAAAAATGAAAACCTATAAAAAAAAGCAAAGAGTATATAGTTAGATCATTGTTTTTCTTATACCACGCAATCATCCGGGTAATTATGTATCATTTATGCTTCATTGTAAAAGTATCTTTTTCTTTATTGCTTATTTTAATTATTTATTTTTAGAACTAATTTTTTTTGTAGAAAATCAAAGTAGGAAACAATTTATTGTGTGCGCTTTTTCTATGCATCTCTTTTTCTGTCCTTCCATTCTTGCTGGCTTCAGAGTTCGAGACGACACAGAAAATAGAATAGGCATACAGACAAGTAAATAATCTCGATCCAAGTGTATTTCATTTCCCATAAAGGGTGCAAAATAAGTTTTGGTTCCCTTAAGCAATATTCTTTTCTTACATGTTTCTATGCCGGCATTTGATGATATTCACAAGAAATAGATTTATTATCTAGGGTTTATTAATTGCTAGAATTTCAGTGTTCTATGTTTGTTTTCTATAAGAATACAAGTAATGATGATATCATTTTTTTTTAAACTTACAGTGATTTCTTTGAACTATTGAAGTTAGTAAACTAAACAACTATTCGATTGGTCTTTCGATACGAATAGATCTTTTCTTGACTTATCAGTTTTGAATTTTTCCTGATATTTTTGTATGCCATTGTAAATTATATATAAAGCAAAATAAATTTCATAATGACTGATGAGTTACTTGATAATAGCTATTTTTTGGAATCAAGCTACAATTCTTTCCTTTTAATTAGATAAATCCAATGTATTGAAACTTTTCAATGTTACTAATTAGATCAAATAATCTGAGAATTCGTAACATATTATATTCTTTACAAAATAGGGAAATACTTCGAACAATTATGATAACTGATAGATCCAGATGAGACGAAGATATATAAAGAGCGATGTACGATTTATTATGATGATTGCTTTTTTGTTGCAAACCGTATCATTTATCAAAATTCACTCAAGCAAATAGTCTTTTTCACACTTTTGCGCTAATGATAAATACTTATGAAAGTCATGAAGAATAGTTTTTTTTTATTTAAAGTTTAGCTCTTTTTCTTCTTCTATGACAATTATAATGCATAGAAATTGGAAATTTAGGAGTGGACCGAGAATTCTAGTGCGTGTACTCTGAAAATCAACTACCATTAGTGTATAAACATATGAGACGATGATTTTGCTCGAGGAAATAAGAAACTATTCTATATAGACCATATTTACTTTTTATTCGGATTCATTAAACTAAATCAAATTTGTTACTTTATGCAAAACAGGTAATTGAATAGCTAGCATTATATTTCATGGAAATAATACACAAAATATTATGATAGTCAGTTGTCGAATAGATTACTTTGTTGGTATGAATATTCAGTTGACGTGCTTTTATTTTCAAACAGATAGATCTATCTATGTCTACCTTCATGTAAACGAAAATATTTATATCAATAAAATAAGCATAGAGATCTATCAATAAGATTAAATCTGTTGTTCTTAGATTGTACAGAAATGTTTCGTATCAAACTTTGTCGAAGTCAATTGTTTTATTTTCGTTGAAGTGCATATAAGTCTCATTGTTTTATTCTTTTTGCTTTCAGAAAATGTTTTAAGCTAGCTCATTTTATCGCTCCAGTCATTCTTATTCCCAAGGCGTTCAATTCTGTTGTGTTGGTCGTATTCTCGCATTCACTCTCCCTGATCGACGTCACTCGCTTCAATTATAAGTCTTTATTCACTTTATAGACGCATACAACAAGGTTAAATAGGTTTTGATCATCGCACACAAGTGATTTGCATGAAGCTTCTGTGATGTTAGACCTAAATGCTTATGATTGAAGAGAGCGAGGCACAGACAGAGACAGAGAGAGAGGGAGGGAGGGAGGGAGGGAGAGAGAAAGAAGGAAAATAAGTTTTTTTTAATGAAGAGAATAAGAATTAGCAGTTAACAAACACAAAATGTATGAGATTAGGCATGCTTTCGAACTACGAAGAACATCCTAATGAGAGCGCACAACACAGTGAAATCTTTATCAGTTGTCAGAACGTTTGATAGGTGTAAATAAAATAGAAGAGAAAAGGTTCTCAAGTTGAGTTGTTTTTTATTATGCCCATCGTTGTCTAAGATGTCATCATCAGCCAACACATATAACATGTCTGGCTGATAGATAGTTGCTAAAAACCATTCATCGAATAGTTTCGTCACTTATTTATACGCATCGTGGGTAACAATAAAAATATTACACTATTTCAGTTACAGTTCTCCGCCCTCATACTATCGGAATGTAGTCCTTAACAGTCTGTCGAAACATTTCTATCGCTTATAATGATTACTAGGTTATTATCTTTTCCCCCCTACAATCACTTCTCGATTAAATGTTCTTACTGATTATGATAAAAAAAAAACTATATTTTAATAGATTTTATTTATCGTTCTTTTCATAGCTTATCGATTGTTTTCCATTGAAAGCTGTCAATGAAGCATGTGCGAGTGAATGCTGACACATTACTCAAAAAAGGCTCTAGATCGAAATTAAATTATGCCGAAACGAGTAAGACGATTTCGACAGCAATTAAGATTTTAAAAAGAATAGATTGTTTTTCGATGAAGTGACGTTCCTCTCAACTAATTCAATCGAGCTATTTTGCCTAAAATATTATTTTTATCAATCCTTAACTTTTTTTCTTCTTAAATGAACACAACGATTTTCTTTAGATAGATTATTAATATAGTTAGATAAAATATGTCACTTCATATGTTTATAACTTGTAGCAAGAAGAAAAATGCTTTTTACATAGTCCGATCTATTTCATTCTTATTCTTTGAAAATATGTCTTTTGTTCCACGAGAAAAAATATTTATAGAAATTTTGCTTAATACTAAATAATAAAATCTTAATTTTCAAAAGAGTCGCTTGAGCATTTTTTTCTTCAACATTTCTGTTTCTTAAAAGAAATTTTTATTTTTAGATGTCTGTAAGAAAAAGACAAAAAATAATTTCATCATGTTTATTAATTTAAATCATATTTTTTCGTACATATATGACGCCAGTACACAGCAATGAACTAAGCAAACCCGTAAGCGGTTTTCCGCCGCAAGCATCTTATTTGCTATTAAATCCAAAAACACGACCCATATTCGCGTCCATCATTGTAATACTGAAAGTTTATCCGGTGCTTCTACTTATTTTGGGTTCATTGGGAAATCTATTATCATTTTGTGTTTTACTTCGTGCCAATATGAGAAGATATTCAACATTTTGTTATCTAGCTTGTCTTGCTCTCGTTGATCTTGGAGTTATAATAACATTTTGTATTAATTTTATCTCGTTATATCATTTTAATAATGATATACAAGATGAGCCATTTGCATGTAATTTATTTGCATTTTGTATTTATTTTCTTCCTCAATATTCATCATGGATATTAGTTGCTGTCAGTATTGATCGTGTTATATCAGCAAAGTATCTTCGTTTAGCTAAATCATGGTCAAAACCGAAACATTCAGTTTTAGTTACACTTATACTTGGACTTTTTCTTGGAATGTTAAATAGTCATTTTTTTCTTTATGAAAATAATTCAATTAAACAAAGAAACCAACAACGAATGATGCAAAATAATCAAAGTACTCCCAAAACATTTTTATCAACCGATACATTAGTTAATCGGCATTCAGACGCATTAGAATTACTAAATAGTTTTTCAAGCGAAGGAGCTATCAGTAGTTCATCAATATCATATGAATCATTTACACCATCATCAACCTATAGAGACACAACAGTTCAACAACAATATGATAGTTATATTACTATGTCAAACGAAGCGATGTCATCATTTGACGTTAATATAATTCATTGTTCACTTGAAAGTTCTCATGAACATGCAAAGCTTCATTTTTATTGGGTTTGGATAGATCTTCTTATGAATGTTTTCTTACCATTTACAGGTAAATAATGATAAAAGAAAATTCAAATAGAGAAAAAAAGACGAATCATAAAATCATATTTTTATTTTTAAAGCTATGATTGCTTGTACAATAATAATAATTTTAACACTTGTCCGTTCATCTAACCGATCTGGTTCAACTTCTGTTCGTCGCTCACGTCGTCGTCGTAATATATCTGTAATGTTAATTACTATTAATCTTGTTTTTATTAGTTTAACAGCACCAATAGTTATATTTTTAAGCATATACACACATTTAAACGGTGAACAAAATAATTATCGTCAAGTAGTTTTAATCTTGATTAAAATCTTTTGTATTATTTTAATGAATCTAAATCACTCAGTTAATATTATTATTTACTCAGTAACGGCAAAAGAATTTCGCTCTGAAACGAAGAATTTCCTACATGCATTACTTTATTGTTGTATTGGTAAACCAACCAGCCCAATTGATTTTGCACATACGCATCATGACGGAACATTTATTTCACGTTTAACACGTTTAAGAATTAATTTATTTAAATGTTGTCGTGTTAAAATAAATTCAAACTCAACGAATACAACAGATTCAAGTGGTTTACCACACACAGCAACAACTGGAACAAATAAAATTTCGTCAAAAAAAGAGTATCGACACGAAAATAAATTCAATAAACGTAAACAACTTGATAAAAATGGAAAAAAGCCATATTCAGTTATACGCTATAGTGAAACAACTGCATTACAGAAAAGTAATCAACATCTTACGGTACAAGTACAACCCGATCCTACAACATCGACATTTGAGCGAGAAGATTTATCATTACATAGTCTATCAAATTTAACTGAGCATTAAAAATTTATCATGTTAAATTTCTTGTTATTCTGTTTTTATTTTTCTCTTCGCTACGTTTTTTGCTTTAGCTTCTTTCGCTTGCACATTTGATATGAAACCTCTCCTTGCGCATGCATAAAATACGACAATGGGAACAAAAGAGAAAGTAGTTTCTATTCAATAATAGAATATTTTATTTGCTGAACATAAAAATCAATAATACGAATGAAATAATAAATAGAAATTCGCGATTGCAATATTCTTATTTAAAATAATGAACTTAAATCGAGATATTGCTTACAAATATAACAAAGAGAAATCATTTAACGCCTTCTTATATGTAAAGAGATCATTATATATTGAACGATAGCTAAATCTAATCGATTATATTTCTGAATGGTTTTCATTTTTTGTTCGATTTAACAGATTCAACGCATAAGAATTATTCATTTTTTTCAAGAAAGAATACACAAAACATAAATTAATGAACACATCGAAGTAGACTAATTAAATTAGTTTATTTTCTATAGAACGAAGAAAAATAATGTCATTTACTGTATATGGATCTATATTTGCACTTGACCATAGTCATACTTAATAGATAAAGACGTTGATATCAATACTCCAATCATACTAGAAATGTGAATTAAGTTAGAATCGTATTAAGCAATCTAATTGATACATTAAGAGTTAAATCATCTCTAAAAGATCACGTCACTCTTAATGCACCAATCGCATGGCTTAATTCAACTATAATGTTAATTTACTTCTCAATGCCATTGGGGCCTAAATATAAGGTGCGGGTAATGCAAAATTACAGCACCTCTTCTTTTTTTCTTAAACATGTTTCATTCGATTCTTTTTTTCATGCTGATCACGGATATCTACTTGATTTTTCGATCTCACAAAACTTTTAGGGAGAAAAACGCAAAATATTAAGAGAATCTAAAAATCGGAAAAAATTGCTTTTCAACAAGCAACGTTTATTTCTATAGTGTTACACTTTTCGCACTCTCCAATATGACTTTCGATTTTCTCATAGAAAACTGAATCTAGAAACGTTACCCTACATGACTAAAATAAAAAACGAAGGAAAGAAAGAAAGATGGAATATTCTTTGTAAGTGGGCATTTCTTATATCAATCAAAGTGCACTTGACCATGATAACGATATGAATAGAACTAGGATGACTATTAAATAAACACGACTGACAAAAAGGAAGAAAGAGAAACAGCGAACATCCTTTTTCATTCGTCATATCTTATACTAGTCAAGTGTCCTTCTTTTTTTAAATTCAGTAATAATTTGATTGTGCCTTGAATGGTTCACTTACATATAAAAATGAATGAAGAAAAAGTAAACTAAAGAGACAACTTGTTTTTTTACAAGACACGTTTCATAAAAAGCTGGTTGACTTCCAGTGATAAGAGTCTTTCTCCCTGAGATGAACGAAATTCATTTATAGATAAGAAAAAGATTAACAAAAAAAGTGACACATAGTTATAACATGTAACACAAAAAGATAGAGTAGTGTAGAAAATGTGGTGATAACCGAAATTTCAATTTGAATAGAATATCCTGTATTTCTTTATTTTGGAATATGTAAAAGTGGAAGATTCATATGTTTATGTTATGTGCTTATTACATAGGAAATATTTATAAACAAATAAGTTGCGGAGATTAGTATCACTTTTGAAATAGCTTAGCCATTCCTCGTGTATCCTTTCGAAGGATTTCAATTCATCTAATGAGTGCTGAGCTCTCTTGATAAGTCTGTTTGGAAAAGTACTACGCTTATTGAATCCCATACTTTTAAACCAACTTATATCTGCAGATGTTATTATTTCATAGGCCCGGCATGTCTGTTGAAATATTAGAGCATCTGGTGATCTTTCTAGACGTATACTGAACTTCGTCCAGTACGAATATAGATGGTCAAGAAGAGATTTTTCTTGACTTAGTATTAGAATTGTTTCATCTCCCCATTTCTGTAGTGAATAGACAATTCTTACACCTGGACAATACACGTGTTCGGTATATCTTCTTTGCTTATCCGAATAGAAAAATCAAGTTGAAAATAGCCGGAGAAAGTTAGGCATGGCAAACGCTGAGAAAATTTGTTTTCTCATTTTATTATTGTTTCTAGGTATTGTATGAAACATGGTTTTCATTCCTTGATATACTTTTCTTATTTTTCTTTTTCTATCACTAATAAAGAAGTTCCAGCCTAATATTGTTGCAATTGTTACACCTAGGTATTTAAAACTCTTTACATATTCTATGGATTGACCTCTATATTCAATTTTAGGTTTTGCTGGTGCAACTACACTACAGTAGTGCTTTGGTTTTCACAGTGTTTACTGGGAGAATATTGTCATCTGCAAAATTTCTTAAGTTTTCGAGAGCGAGTTTAGCACGTACTTCTAATTCTATTATATGCCTTGAAAAACGCTTTTCAAAATCACTTGATATATGGATGGCGAAGTCATCAACAAACATATGAGATGATATAGAGAAAAATAAGGAAGGTAGCAAATGTACATGTAATCTAAAAGTGTAACCGCTAGTACTGATCCTTGTGGTGCTTCTACATGCATTTGAATGATCCGTGAATTTGCTTCGCCGTGATGTATTGTTAGAGTACGCTCTTGTCACCAATTATATATCCACTTAAGCAATGGAACTAGTATCTCTAGGTTTTTTTAATTAGAAATCATAGCTGGATACCACATTTTACCGAAAGCACTTAAAAAGTCTACAAATAATACTAATGCAGCTCTATTGCAAGCTGCTATCGTCAGTCTTAAATCCTCAACTAGGGACAATATTCTTGTCTGTAACCTCCTGCCAGCGGTAAATCCACTCTGTTCATCAGTATATATACGTATATATTGTTATCGTTGCACCACGATAACAGTCGCTGATGAATAATTCTTTCAAACCATTTTCCTATATTAGGTAGAAGTGAAATCAGACGTATTTTGTTGACTGAAGGAAATAAGCCTTCCTTAGATAAACATATGACTTTTGCATGTTTAACTATCTTGAAGCAGGCTCCTTCTTCTACGCATTAATTAGATAAAATAGTGATAATAGCTATGAATTGAGGAGGCAAATTTTTGAGTAACAATGCAGAAGTATTTGCACTATCCGTCGATTTTTTAGGACGAAATTTTTTCCATTCTTTTAAAACTTCTTGAAATTTAATTTCTTCAAGAGGTAGATTAGGTAAAGAAGCTATTTTCTGATATGTATTTATTGAATGAAGATGCATAGGATTGTTACTATTGTAATTACTTAGGAGCAGCAAAATGCTTTTCATAGTAGTCTGCTAGCATATCCACAATTTTTTCGGGATTGGTTTCTTTTACATTATTATCAGTACTAGTCAAGTGTCCTCGACCATAACACTGTAGAACAAAGAAAATGATTTTGAATAACCGAATGAAACTGAAAATAAATTGATTCGCTTTGATTCGACTTCTTTTCTAGAAGTATCATTCGATTCGGGAGTTTCGAAGTTCCATTCGGAGTCGGTTCGATTCGATTTCGGTCTCTGCTACATATGCGGCAAACAAATGTTTTATTCTATAGTGACCTTGTATAATTATAATTAATGGTTTCTTTATTTAATTCTTTTTTGGGATTTTTTTTAAAACTATTTCATTTTTGTTTTCGGAATGAAACGTGTTATTGAGTCCAAATTTTACATGAAACATTTCGATACTTCACGTCATGTCAGACATTAATCAATCAAACAAGTAAAATAAATGGCCTTTCAATATAGATAATAATTATATTATCCGATAGTATGTGTCATATTGGATGTGCCAAAACATATATTACGGGGGGGGGGGGGGGGGGGGGGGGGGGGGGGGGGGGGGGGGGGGGGGGGGGGGGGGGGGGGGGGGGGGGGGGG